AAAAAAAAAAAAACCTAAATTTTAATCACTACAGAACTCCGTCGAGAAAGGTGTCAGGTAGAGACCGTGGTGCTCGCCTGTGAAACACCTCGTGGATTCCGTGTCGGTGACCGAGGGGCCGCCCGGCGCCCCGTGACGCCTGCCTCATGCGCCCCGTCGGTCGTGCGCCTTGGAAGGACAGTCCTTTGGAAAGCTTGTCCCACGGCGGGCAGAGAGGCCAGGTGGAAAACGGGAAGGATTAGATGCCGGACGAGGAACACCTGAGACTCTGGAGTTCGGTCATTAAAACTAACATTTTTAAATTGTACAAATTCGAGTCATTTAATTTCCCCCCGGCATTTTATTTTAGAACACGCGTTATCGCCTCAGACCGCAGGACGAGAAAAGCAGCAGGTGCACGCGAGGCCGAGTTCCTCGGCTGTAGAGACAGGTGTCCCCTTCCGGGGCGCGGCCCCCACGACGCCTTAGACGAGAAGCAGCATTTCCTCTGAGTCTGCTTCGCGCTGACGAGACCGAAGCCGCCGGCCTCGTCCCGAACGTGCCGGTCCCGCATTCACTCACGGGGACCGCTGCGGCGAACGGGCCACCTTACGCCGCAGACAAAGTTAGTTCTACCAGCTCTGACAGCAGACGTTCGAGGGCAAGGCGTCCGTGTCCTGAGGCCTCCCTCCTTGGTGTGCAGACGGCCGCGTCCCCACGCGGTCGCCCCCTGTGCGTGTCTGCGCCCCCACCCCACTTCTGTAAGGACACCGGTCACACTGCATCAGATGCCGCTCTGATGACGTCATTCGGCCTTAGCCTATCTCCACACGCAGTCACGTTCTGAGCTCCTGAAGGTCGGGACATGGCAGGTTGGCTGGTGGGCAGGAGAAAGCACAGCCCGGCCCACGAGGGCGGCTCTGACCGGGACTTACACAGTGCAGGAAGCTGCGGTCTCTCCAGCTCTCTGCACGAGTGAAGCTTCTACGTACAGTTCTCAAAGACAGCTGTCACTTAAGCTGACAAAGTTCCTGTCACCCGTGGCAGGGAGGGCCACGTCCTCCTGCTGTGACGTGTGTCCCTGGAGCGAGGGGTGTGATGTAGACAAGCCACGCAGGCTTTCGGACCCTGACGGGGCACTGAGGTGACCGACGGCCGAGTCGCAGACGAGCCCCCGGGTCTGGCAGCAGCATGTTCAACAGAGCAATTAAATCAACAAATGACCTCGGGTTACGAGGACGAGAGTCATACGGAGTATATGCTCTGTTTGTTTTTACCGACTGTATGTTACATGTTCATTTTGTTTTTTAAGTTTTTTAAAATTTCATATGTACAGAAAGCTAAAAACAAACATATAGGTATGGATTCGTTCCTCAATGTCATAAATTTTAGGATTTTATTAAATTTACCTTAGTCTCTTTGTTTTGTTTACTAGTTTTTTAAGAAGCGAGCAGTACAGGTCAATTTAGGGGCGCCTCCCACATCCGATTCCCCTCGTCCGTCTCCGAGAGGAAATTAGGGTTGTGAGCTGGGAGTTAGGGGTGGCATGCTTATGTCCATTTTTATAATTTTCTCTCTTGCTTGCTCTTTCTCTCTCTGTACAAAAGACACACACACTCATGCACATAGTTTACATATTGTAGACTTTTGAATTTTTACATAATGGCTATCATATTACATTTATCCGCAAACAGATCTCTTCGGTTTTCAGCACGCGATTTTAACAGTTGCCTATGCTGGGACGCGTTCGTGTCATTTATTAATTTTACATGCTGTATGGAACTCCTTTTCATGGCCCTTTCAATTCCTTTTTAAAACTCCAAAACGCTAGTCACGATCTAAGTTTCACTAAAGAAACGAGGCCGGAAGCCAGGCTTTGCTATGTGAGTCGCGCTTTGCGCAGGTGCTACATTTATGGACACGTAATCAGATCTTCAGCAGTGCAGCCTTTACCGGCTGCCGTCCGAGCGATTTTACTCACGTGGCACGTGCCCGTGGTCTCTGTGACACCACGTCCACGCAGCGGTGTAGACCCTGAGGGTAGTGAAAACAACTTTCACGTGTTTAAATTACTGCCATTGGGCAGGTAAGCTTCGTTTGATGTGGGCAGTGCGCTGTGAATAGCGCGGACACCTGAAAGTATCGGTTTCGTTTTGTGAGGAAACACATTGGTTGCTGTATGCGTTCGGGATTTTTTTTGTCCACGTCGGGTATAAATAGCCGCCGGTCAGATGGAAGCTGAAGGCAGCCCGCAGCCCGCAGCCCGCGGAGCTCACTCACGCCGCCTCTGTCTCCCTGTCCTGCCAGGTCCCTCTGGCCAGAGCCCCCTCCTGGCGGTCTTGAGCGGGAACCACTCGGAACCCTCCAACTTCACCAGCACGAGCAACCGGCTGTTCCTGCGCTGGTCCACCGATCACGCGACCAGTAAAAAGGGCTTCCAGATCCGCTACGCAGGTGGGTAGTGAGGCCGAGCTTTCGCGGAAAAGTTCCTTTACTGCCACTAAGCTACACAGTGCATGGAGGCTAAAACGTAAGCCCGGTTTTCGAAGATGAATAGGTGACTTCGACAGAAATAACATGGTGAGAAATGACTCTGAGTGATATCTCTAAACAACCTAAAGGAAAATATACTATTTGTTGGTTAATAGTTTAAAAATTTATGGCTCGAACCATAAAACATTGAATTGCATATCGTGGAAAGCCATTTCCCAAAAGATCAAAATATGTAAAAATTAATTTTAAAATGTTTCAATGCTAAGGGAACAAACAGGAAGAGAGCATCATGATGCTATTGATCTCGTAAGTGGTGACAGCCATGTGCTGTCAAGAGTGTGTTCCCCCTGATCTCCATGCCTCTTTACATCTGCGTGCGATGCCTGACATGTTCGAGGCCGTGTGGACTTGTCTTTCCTGCCCCAGCCCTGCTATTTGTACTGCCCCGCGGAAGCAGCACACAGACGATCGCAATCCCGGATAGAATTTGTCTGTGAAGGGAAAAGTCTGAATTTCTCAGCATCCCACTCGGCAGCATCCCGAGGTAACGGTGAGATGCATTCCCTCGGGGTGAGGGGGGTGCCCACTGCGCACCTCCACACGGCGCGTCTTCCTGGGGGGTTGCTTATCCCTACGTCGGAGCTTTACGTCATCGGCGACGAGGAGCATTCTGAGGTGACACGGAGAAAGGGCATCGTGTTTTAAGAATGAGATTTCAGCTCCCTTTGGTGGCAGACCTCGTGAAAGACGGTGCGAAGCATCGGGTTTCGAGAAGGCTCAGGTGTGAGGGCGGGAGGCGCGAGTCCGCGTCCTTTCTCCGTCGAGCCGGATCGAACTCGAACGGGCCCGGACCTTCATTCTCCGCTTTCTCTCTCTTTGCTGGAAGTAGCATCTCAAAAAGCTTCTCGACAAAGAGCTTACGGTCGAAATGCGCTTGTATTAGAATGAGTCGTGAAGAGCGCGGGGCAGCGCATGGATTCGAGTTCATCCGATTCCTTGTTCCGGACGGTGACCCGACCCTGCGAGCTGCCCGCGTCCCTCTGCGCGCACAGGCAGAAGCCGAGTCCGTGGCCAACGGAGCTGTCTCGTTTCATCTGCGCCAAATTACTCAGCGGCCTGGACGCACGATTATGCCTTGAATTCTGTCCCTCAAAGGATATTTCCGTTCATTGTAAAATAAGGAGGTTCTTTGTTAAACTGTGTCGGGAGAGGAGGAAAACGGAAAATTCCAGAGAAGACGGCAAATTGTCACGTTCTGTCAGTGGACGCCCCATCTACGAGCACAGGATTCGTCTTACGGCGAACGTCCACCCACGGTTCAGCGATTCGGCGCCCGCTGGAGGTGTCGCCAGCGCTTCCGGAGCAGCCGCGAGACGGCGTCCGGTGTGCGGACGTGGGTGACGGGGTGTGCCCTCCCGCGGGGCCGCGGCTGCGTGCAAAGCCTCCGCTTCCCTCCCACCTGGGAGCGCAGGTTCCCGGGACTTCGGAGCAGTACATTTGATCAACGCAGCTGAAGAAGGAAAGTAGCGGACACAGCAAGCGCCTGTCTGGCCGCGGTGACAGTGTCCCCTGGCTAGTGGCGGAGCGCACCTCAGCTGCCGTGCTGGGGGGCAGCGCACAGCGGGACTGACACGCGCCCCGGAGCTGCGGGCGGCCGGCTCCCCCGGTCTCTGCCGTCCCAGACACCGACCTCCTGTCCCCGTCCGGCACCCCCGCTCGCCAGCAGACTTTCAGGCCGGGCCTGGCCTCCGTGACTCGGCACACCGGGGGTCATCGGGCAGGCCCCCGCGTCCCAGTGTCCCTGTTCCCTGCAGGGCTGCGTGTCGCCCTCGGAGCCCCCCGCAGGTCCTGTCCTAGGCGGGTTAGGACTGAGCAGGTGTCCTGAGACCCAGGTGACAGAAGGAACATCGATCCTGGACGCCGTGCGGTTAGACGGTCATCCTCCCGGTTACATTCCTTAGCAGACTGGAGTGTGACAGGAACCACAGGTGACGGCAGGACCGCGTCGTCCCCCGGCCCCTTCCGCAAGTTTCGTTTCGTTTCATTTAATTGTTTAGTTAAGTTTTTTAGTTTAGTTTAGTTTAGTTGTTTCATTTGGTTTAGTTTCGTAGTTTAGTTTAGTTTTGTAGTTTAGTTTAGTTGTGTTTGTTTAGTTTAGTTTTTTAGTCTAGTTGTTTAGTTTACTTGTTTAGTTGTTTAGTTTAGTTGTTTAGTTTAGTTGTTTAATTTAGTTTAGTTTTTAACTTTAATTCAGTTTAGTTTTTTAGTTTAGTTTAGTTTAGTTGTTTAGTTTAGTTTAGCCTAGTTTTATAGTTTAGCTTAGTTTTTAAGTTTACTTTTTTAGTTTAGTTTTTTAGTTTAGTTTCATTTAGTTTAGTTTTGTAGTTGTGTTGTTTAGTTTAGTTTATTTGTTTAGTTTAGTTTAGGTTTTTAGTTTCGTTTTTTAGTTTAGTTTCATTTAGTTTAGTTTTGTAGTTGTGTTGTTTAGTTTAGTTTATTTGTTTAGTTTAGTTTTTTAGTTTAGTTGTTTCGTTTAGTTTTGTTTTGTAGTTTAGTTTAGTTGTTTAGTTTGGTTTTACTGGCACAGTGATTCTGGGCAGTTGATACCCAGGGCGACTGGTCACACTCGTGCTTTTCCTAAACTAAGTATTTTGGTTCATTCGAAACTTACAAAATTTAGTCTGGAACAGCTGGATGTAGAAAATGGCTCGGCCAATGGGCGGTTAACCGAGAGCTGCTTATAACAGAGAGTGGTTCTAACTTAATGAAAACGGTCCGCTTCTTAATGCGATGGTACGTCAGAAGGCCCCCAGCTGAGACCATTCCAAGGACGCCTCTCATGGGGACAACGGCCCGACGGGAGACCTTCGGACAGCGCCTCCTGCGCTGGCTTCTGAGAACAGGTCCAGCGTTGAGCGTGCAGGGTGTGGGTGCCCCGCACACGGATCCCCGGGGACCGTGACCTTCTCCATGTCACTGCGTCGGGTCCCCTGAAGGGAGTTCACCGGATTTTAGGCAGCAGTGGGGCTGGTCTTGCAGGAATAAAGTGCTTCCTTTCTCTAAGCGTGTAAATAAGACGCGGAGCCGTTAGCCATCGACATGCTGCATTCTGCGGGAGGCCGTCATTCTGATTAGAAACGCCTGTCTCTAATTCTGAAGGGTCTCCCCACAAAGGGGCTGGCGAAAGCTGCTGTAAGGTTGTCCTTGACCTGAAGTAGTGCGTTTTCTTCGGAGCTTTTGTTCCGAACTCTTAGTTAGCAGAGTCTCGTGGCTACGTCATCGTGCCGTTCCCGAGGCCTGCTTCGCACCTGGACAGGAGCCAGTGACAGCTCGAGTGTGGGGTGCTGTGCCCCCACTCTCTCCATTGTGATGACACTTCGATGTTTAGTGTTGAGAATCATCCCGTTTCAAACACGGAGCCCAGAGCAGAGCCTCACGCTTCTCATCCCGGTGGTGCGTGAGCTTCCGTCCGCGGGCGGCCGGCCCGTCACGAACAGGCTCTCGGCCTGATGCCTCCGCGCGTTTGCTCCCAGCGCTTGGCTCAGCCAGGACTCTGCCTCCTCGTCGCTTGACAGCTGCAGGTGACACAGCTGAAAACAAGACCCTGGGCCCTGGCTCTAGAGTTTGGGATGTTTTTTTAGATGTCATTGTTTTCAGAGAAGCTGAAGGTTCACAGCAAAACGAAGAGGAAGGTAAGCGCTTTCCCAGACACGCGTCCATTCCGGTGTCACAGAGTGGCCACCACCCGAAACGCCCGGGCCCCCCGTCCAGCCCGCGCCCACCCCCGGATGCCCGCCGATCCGTTTCCCCGTCCCCATCAGTTCGTCTTCCCAGAATCACGCAGCACGGTGCCTTCCCGCCGGGCTCCCTCGGCTCAGGGCTGTGCTTAGGGCCCCTCGCGCCTCGCATACCTGCGTAGCTTTCCACAGCGATTTCAAACGCTGAACATGCGCATGCACCACGCGGTCTGCTCACCACTCGCCTGCTGAGGGCCGTCTGCGTGGCGATGATGCGGGAGGCCGCTGGGAGCATCGCCTGCGGGTCTGCGTGCGGACATCCGTGTGCGATTCCTTCTGGCGAATTCCACGTAGAGCGATTAGTGGGTCGAACGGCAGGAGTGGGCTGAGCTCCATGAGGCTCCGCCAGGCGGTCCTGCAGCGTGGCTGGGCCACGTGCGCCCCGCCTGCCGAGTGGCCGGTGCCCCGATGCCACGCCCGCCGGCGTGGGCCGCTCCGAGCTGCTTAGCGAGCTGCGTGGCGCAGCTTCACGTCCTGTCGCCGGCTCCCTGTGTTTAAAGGGTGGAGGTGTCTCATGATAGCGCGCCCACCCGGACGCAGAGCCGCTGTCTGTCTCCCGCTGGTCACTGACGCGCGTGTTTTGTGCCCGCAGCTCCTTACTGCAGCTTGCCCCACGCCCTGAGGAACGGCGGCGTCTTAAACCGGACCACGGGCGCGCTCGGGAGCAAGGTGCACTACTTCTGCAAGCCCGGGCACCGCATGATCGGCCCCAGCAACGCCACCTGCAGGCGGAGCCCCACGGGCATGTTCCAGTGGGACGCGCCCCCACCGCTGTGCCAGGGTAAGACGCGTCGCCGCCCTCCCCAGACGTGATGTCACTTCCTGCTCTGGTTTGAATCCCCCTCTGAGAGTCACTGAGGCGGTGACCGTGGACGAGGTGAGGAGCAGGTGGGTGTGGGCGTTAGGAGCTCACGGTCAGGCAAGTCACACGTCCACGACGCCGGGTTCCGCTTTCGGCCTGGATTCGGGGGGCGGCTGAGCAGACGCTGGGCGCTGGGCAGAGTTGTTCCGATGCTTAGATGTGTTTCATTTCAAAGTAAAAATAATGTGTTCTCTAATCTATATCTTAAGTATTTCTTCTTGACAGTTGTATTAATTAAGAAGATCAATTGCTAAAACTCATTTTAGATTAAAAATTCATTCTTTGAGCATACGCTGTATACTTTATTTGCTCGTGAACTTTTAAATCTAGGGCTTGTTAAAAGTTGATTTCAGTATTTCAGGCCTGTTTTTGCATTTTATCTGTCATATTCATAAAAATCAGATTTTTAAAATATGGCATTTTAATTTTTAATTGAAGGCTTTGAAATCGTGAGATTTTCATGGTTTTGTCTCGGTGAGATTTATATTCGTAATGAACTGTAATGGTCTGTGAAAGCTGATTACGATTTATAAATGGAGCCCTCACATCGGTTGGCCCTTTTCTCTCTTTCATTAGGTACTAGACTTTCTGGCGTTGCTCTAAGAGATAATGATAGATCTCCCTCGCACTCATCCTATGTGATTTAACCACAAGGAGTTAAACGGACGCTCGACTTGTAATATTCACGTCCTAACTCCAGAAATGCTTCTCTAATGTAGGATAAACATAAAGATCCAATAAGAGTTTTTCATTAGAAATGATCGTTTTTTTCTTTAAAAGAAAAGTATTTGTTCTTTCAAAAGAAAGAAAAAATGCTTCTCATTTTCTTTAAATGTTCTGTTCCTCTCTGTGACATGAAACCTGTTGTTCAGAGAATAGCCCTGTGGGCTCTGTGTCCTTGGCACTGGGGACAGAATGTCAACGACAAAAGTAATGGCCTTCACGGCAAGCCAGGGGAGGGGAGGGGTGACAGCAAGATGCCAGCTTCCGGATCGTGACCCGCGACGGCGCCTCCCACGGCGGAGGCGGCTGGAATGTCCCCTCAGACACCTTCTCGTGCGGAGCGGAGTGAGCGGCGGTGGACAGCCCGGCACATGGCCATCTCTCCTCCCGCCCCGGGACCTGTTCTGAAGGCGTTGCCCAAATGGACAGACGGCGTTTCGAGGAAGGATGCCCAGAAGGCGTTTCGGGACGACGTTTGGCCTCCTCCTCCTAATCCCAATCTCCCCCCCGCCCAGCAGAACTATTTAACGTGGAATTAAATGACCCAGAAACAGGACTCGTGCAGGGAAACCAGGTCCCGCTCGCCTTGGCAGTGTGGCTGAGGCATTGAGTGGGAACGGTCAGTGCATCTCTTCTTTGGGGCGAACATGACCTCGAGCGAAGGCACCGTGGACATGGGACGCATGGCACTCTCGAGGTGGGAAACTAATGCCTTCCCTCAGATTTCCTCCTGGAGACGAGCGACCTCCACGAGCGTGTTCTCCAAGTCTCAGATGTTCCAGAAGCCGCCTCTTCCTATGGCAGAGCCACGCCCTGCCCTTCCTGTTAACCGGGCAGTGAACGGGGGAGGCGGCATGATCTGTTCCTTCTTCACAAACCGTGACTTGTGGGACCTGGACAGCCCTTAAAAATAATCCATTTTAATTTACGTATGTGTTTGAGACTGCGGCACAGAAAGCTGAGTGACTTATTAATAATCGTACGGGTGTTGGTCGAGAACGCAGACCTTCTGCTGCCCTTGATGGTTGAGTCACACCGTTCACTGCCAAAGGAAATTCTGCTTAGGATCCTGCAGACACCACGTCATGCCTTAGGCTCTCGAGTTCACTGTGGGGAGAGTCCCTTCTGTCCTCCTAATGTACATCACATAGCATTTTAATGATAATAATACAATATTTTCATTATGTATGAGGCTCTAATGATTAAAATTTTTTTAAAAAAACAGTAGGAAGAAGGCTTTTTTAACCCTTTAAATTATGTACGATTCCATAATCATTTTTATCATTTTAAAAATAAAAGTACAGTAAATCCTTTAAAATAAATGGTAAAGATGACGCAAAGGCCACTGAGAAAGGATCATGAAAATTTAAGTGGAAGATGGTTATTTGTGCCCCAGCAACCTGTCACTTACGGCTACAGTCACTGGCATGGATTTAACTGGGTGTAACATGAACTATAAATGCGCCGTCATTGCAGCTTGCAATCTGGAGAAATTTGATGCGTTCGGTATTCATCACTCGCTCTCCTCTTGTGGCTTAGGGAATGCAACGCTTTCCCTCCACGTACACCTGCCTGACTCTCAGAAAGCCGCTTGCTTCAGCCAGGGAGGAGTGAGGCGGGGCGGGGCGGCCCCCTCCAGCGATACCACCCGGCCCAGGAGGCGCCTCCCCTGAGTTCAGAGTGTGGCGTTTGCAGGTCCTGGGCTGGGAAGAACAAAGCGGATGAGGCCGGTTTCTTTCCTTCAAGGGACTCGGGTGTCAAACTGGGGAAGAAGAGGGTGCCGGTGACTGCCGTCACGGGCGCCAGGACCCGGAGCGTGTCGTCCACCGCACCGAGCGCCGCCAATTGAACAACGTCCTTCAGGCGAACACGGAGCTGGACTCCGACGAATACCCCAAAACGCACGATCGGAGAAAAACCTTCGAATGTTGTCATTTTGACATGGAAATAAGTAGAATGGACCCAGCGTGGCTGTGTCGCTTGGAGTCGGGAGGCCGTGGGGGAAGCAGGCTGGGGCACGGCTGAGCCCTGGACATCCTGGAGCTGCCACCACCATGCGGACACACGGGGACACGGCCTCCTCCCCCTGGTGCCCCCACCCCGCGTCTGCGTACCCGAGCTGACCGCCCCATCCAGCGAGAAGCCCCTCGGGCACGGAGGATCACGCTCTGGGTTCTGCCGACACAGACCTCTGTTCTGCTGGCACAGTCTGAGCCGCTGCCGGGGTCTGCGTCCCGCGGGTGCCCAGACAGACGCTCCGCCCCTCACCACAGCCCGCACCGTCACCTGGCTGGCAATTTCCAAAAGTGCTTGCAGCGAAATGTGAAAACAATTAAGTAGGTACTATGATTGTTGTAGGTTCATTGCTGTTTTTCTTCAGTGCTACAATACAAGCACTAGGAGAACTTTATTTCCTGTTTTGTTGTTGGTGTCTTTATGATTTCGTTTTACAGTCGTAGATATATTATATTTTGAAAATTGTTTTGTTTTCAGTTTTAAGGTAATTGAGACTAATTTCAAGTTTTTTTTTTTAAACTGGCATTTCGTCCAAAGAGAGTTGATATGCAAAGAGGAATTATCACTATCTAGTGATCCTAAATTATGGACTCGTCATAATTATATGCTACAAAGATGAAGACCGGGTTGGAACTCTGAGAGGAAAAGCGTTTTGCGACCTCAGCTCAGCGCAGACACCACCGCAGAAGTCTCTCGTGCTCTTGTGTTTCTCCAGGGCACCCCACTGCGTGACACATAACACTGCGGGATGCACATTGCTGTGTAGCGCGTTTATAGGGAAAAAGGTACACGTTTTTCCCTCTGAAACCCACAGACATCAAACACACCCAAATGCTCCTTGACCTGCGACGCTCTCATGTCCCGCTAAACCCACCTAAGCTAAAAATCCTGCGAGTCAAAAATGCATCTAATAACAGCTGACCTGCCAAACACAGCTCAGCCCAGCCAACTGGACGTGTGCTCGGAGCACTTACCTGAGCCCACAGCCGGGCGCGATGGCCTCGCGTGAGCCCGTTTTCTCATGAAACGTCGAACATCTCGAGTAGTTCATGATGCGCATCACGTTCGTACCATCACGAAGCAAAAAGACACGACGTGGAACATCGTAAGGCAGAGACCGTCCCCCACGCGGAAGGGGGTGGGGCTGGGTGGACGACGGGGCGGGCCATGGCGCCGGGGCCAGCCACAGCGGCTCCGCGCTCCCCCAGTGTGGGCGTCACCTGGTTGCGGACGGACGTGTCAGAGACGGTGCACGGACAGAGCCCCGTCGGGAAGGCCGGGTGCTTTGGCCACTGTGGGGATGCCATGCCCGCGGAGTGCAGTGGAAACAGGTTTCTGAGGAGACATAGTGAAACTATGTAGGAATAGGGTCAACAGGCCCTGGTGACCACATTAAAGAAGGGTTAGGACGGGGGAGAAATCTGGAAAGACAGTTTTTCGGTTTCCATCGCTGGCCCTGTGATGGGCCCCCTCCCTGAAATGGGGACCGTGTGAGGACGGTTTCGACGCGCTGGCTTCTGGGCGCCTGGGGCCCGCCGTGCCCAGGGGTCTGAGTGTTCGACATCGGCAGGAAGGCGGCCGCGGCATAAATTAGTTCAGGAGGCGGAGCAGAGCTGTCCGGCGAGCGCGCCTGAGCCGGGTCCGGAGCTGGGCACGGAAGGTCCACTCGGCCCCGTTCCCTGTCCTTTCCCGTAGCTTAGAGTCATTTAACTTGAGAACGTATTTCTGTCTCATGCCGGGTGAGTCTGGATCAGAACTAGTTACTTTAAGAAGGAAGTTTTTATACTGAATTCTCACTCCATTTACGTGTTTTAAAAACTTTCTTCTGCATTCATAGTGCGCTCTTGCCTGGCCTGGCACATGAAAGCTCACGCGCCTGGCCCTCGGAGACACGGCCTTCCGATCTGGGCGTCTGCCCCCAACTCCTCCTGCGCCTTAGGCCCTCGGGCCCTGTTTTCTGACAGACACTGTTTGCGATCATAGATGCTGTGACCTTAGATGCACTGACGATCTCAGTTATTTGTCATTTAATAGGACTTCCCGGAGCTTTAAGGAAAATGAGTCACTGGGGCTGAGGGACCATAAATAAGAGGGGCGGATCTTTGAGACCTGGGGCAAGTGTTTAACAACGAGGCGTCGACATCATGATTGCTTTTGTGATGGAAAAGATATTCTCCTTCCTCTCCAATATTAAAGGAAGTAGAACGTGTCACACTGTGTTCTTTTGTCCACGACCATCTGATGAAACACGTCAGCGTGATCAAACTGTGTGACGCCATCAGACTTATCTACTGGAATAATAACCAGAAGGATTTTTTATTCTGACCAGTTTCCCCTTGTTTCTCCATTCTCTCTCGAGATCCTTAAAACTTCAAAAATACGTGTATTTATGCAACACATTAGAAATATCAGTTTCTAACAGCTTTTACATGCATTCACGCTGACAAGTAGGAAACGCCAGGACGTTTCATAAGCTCGTGTCAGGCTGACCCTGCGTGTCTTGCTTTCCAGCGGTGTCCTGTGGCATCCCGGAGGCGCCGGGGAATGGCTCGTTCTCGGGGACCGAGTTCACGCTGGATAGCAAGGTGACATACGAATGCGACGAGGGCTTCGAGCTTGAGGCCGCTCAGCAAGCCGCGGCCGTGTGTCAGCAAGACGGCTCCTGGAGCAACGGCGGGAGGCCGCCCGCCTGCAAGCGTGAGTGCGCCAGGGCCTTTGCCCCTGTTGGCAGATCTCAGTGGGGACGGGGCTCGGGGTGAGAACGCGGCCTGGGGCGCAGTCCCCCTCCGCCGAGCGAGGAGTTGCTTCCTGGCGCCTGATATTACGGCCCATCTACTCCGAATGAAATGCGCCAACCAGTTAGCTCAGCGGCCCGGGAGGGGGCGACAGGGATGGAGGCCCCGGCCCCCGGCGTCCAGGCGACGCCGTGGTTCGCACAGCCACCCGC